GCTCTAATTAAGCTCCCAGTCACTCTGGGTGGAAGGAAAGGGCATCTTTATAACAGCAGCCGTGCTTGCACAGAGTAAGTAGATTTTTTATCGCTTGATAGGAATTTATAATAATAAATCTCTTATTTCTTTTGGTAGCCATTTCTTGCAATTGGAAAACAGCACAAAGCCTGACTTTACCTAAGAGAGGGTCAATGTCACTATGGCAGAAGCAGGAAAATACTGAGTTGCTGGTGATTTTTTAAAGACATAAAGCTTTTTTCCCCCCTACACATTTTGCCTGTATTTGCTAAATTTCTACTTGAATTTAAGAATATTATAACAGGAGGAGGATAGAAAAGAACTTTTGTAACGTCAAATATGCTTAATGGTCAGATTCTTGAAAATATTTGTAATTAGCACCTGTTTTTCAACATTAAAATTTTGTCCATGCCCCTAAAAATAGTTTATTCACTGTTGCCTTTGTTTATGCCATGAATGTGTTTATAAACAGCACATAGAAAATTTAGCCTAATGTATCAGATTTCTTCTCAACTGGTAAATCCAAGTTAATGGGTGTAACTTAATAATGTCTTCTTTTTAAAATTAAACTTTTGTGTTTAGCTTTGTCTAAAAATGTAAGTTTCCTACAAAAATTAAATCATACGATAAAGTAATTATGGAAATATATATTAAAAATTAAAGTAGGAGGTAACAATGGCCTCCTTCCTTCCTCACCTGTCCTTTAGCACCCGCATCACCCAGAAGTGAGGGATCATTCTTCTCTCATCCCTCTCCACGTCCCTCTTCTCCATCAATAACCCCAGGTTTTCTTTGGGGACTGTCAACCCTGGAGTTCTTAGCTTAGGACTGGCTTTTGAGTGAATTAAGCCCATCAGTACATGTGGCAGATATTATTTGCCACATATACTGATAGCTGTTTTTCTAGACGTTATTCCAAAATCTTCTAGAACCTTGTCACTCTTCATCAAGAGATAGAGGCTATGTACTCTCCTCTTGAATCTGGGTGGGGTTTTTATATCTGTGTCAATCAACAGCATAGGGCAAAGTGAAACTGTGATTTCTGAACATAGGCTATAAAAATTGAAAACACTTTTGTCTTGTTTTCCTGGGATGCTGCCCTATAAGCAGTCTGACAGCCCTGAGACCTCCATGCTGTGGGGGGAGGCCCAAACTGGCCCAACTGGAAAGATCACGTGGAGATGCTCCAAGACTGCGTGAGAGAGGGATGCCAGTCAGCTCCCAGCACCATCTCCCCTCCCCCAGTTCAGCTCCCAGCACCATCTATCCCTCCCCCAGTTTCAGCTCCCAGCACCTGCTACCCCTCCCCAATTTCAGCTCCCAGCACCATCTACCCCTCCTCCAGTTTCAGCTCCCAGCACCTTCTACCCCTCCCCCAGTTTCAGCTCCTAGCACCTTCTGACTGCAAATCTGTGAGGGTTCCTAAGCCAGAGTCACCCAAATTCCTACCCACAGAAACCAGGAGAGATAATGAGATGATTGTTGTTTCAGTTCCTAAGTTCTGGAGGGATTTGCTACTCAGCAACAGATAACCAGAACAGCATGCCTCATCTCTCTGGCCACAATGATCGCTGCAGGACAGACATATGGCCCACTTTAATCTATTCGGTCTGTTTGCCATGAGTGCTGGAACACAGATTCTCTCCTCCTCTGGACTCCCTGGCATGAGTACACAGGCTCAGTAAGACGCTGTAACCATCTGACTAGCAAGAAGGGGAGACAGGCTGAGGGCAAAAGCAACAAAAGGAAGCAAAGCAGAGGGAGACATCATGTGACGTCACTGAGCCCTGAACCAAGCCGCACCTGAAGCTACCATTGGACTTACTCATTACCCACTCGAAGCCATCTATTCAAAAAGTTTGGAATTGCAAGTCACCGTACAGATAAAACAATTTAATTCCTTTATTTCACTTCCTTAATTCCTGAATTTTCCCCATTTTACTCCTGACCCATGACCAGCCAGACATTAGAAACCCTGCAATGACAGGGAGCTCACCACCCTCTGGAGCACCTATTCCATTCCCAAGCAGCTTTAATTGTTGAGCCAAAACCTGTCTTTCTGCAATAGTTTTCATAAGGCAAACTAAAATGTCTAAGAATTCTCTTGTTACAGAATTTACCTGGCAACCGAAAAATACACAGGGATACCAGAGGTACAGGAAAAACCCATTTATTTTCAGATGTTTTGCATGTATTAGTACAGGACTCAGGGGAGACTGTTTCTCTCCAAATCCTGAGCAAGCCAGTATGGAGGAAGCTTTCCCTTTATACCCTTTGGTTTCTTTATCCCCCAAATATGGATCAGACTTCTGGACCTTTTGCAGGCTTTGCAAAAAGCCCCGTGTGTTGGGATGGGGACCGTGAGACCACACCTAAAGGCCTGGCCTGGTGCCAGTGCTGATAACCCTGTCGGGATTATGTATTGTTCATGGTTTATGGCCTTTTTAAAATGGGAGTAGTACTTAGGTAAACTGGTCTTGTGGGCCCAGATAATTAAGGAAGGGGCAGTGACTAGGCTATAGGCCCGTGGTCAGCAAACTGTGGCTCGCAAGCCACATGCGGTTCTTTGGCCCCTTGAGTGTGGCTCTTCTTAAGCCTTAGGAGTACTCTAATTAAGTTAATAACAATGTAGTTTAAGTTTTAAAAATTTGGCTCTCAAAAGAAATTTCAATCGTTGTATTGTTGATATTTGGCTCTGTTGACTAATGAGTTTGCCGACCACTACTATAGGCTAACAAGAATGTGCATTAGGTTACTGGCACAGATTCAGATTGCTAGCCCCCCCCACCCCCCCAAATGTCTCATTTTCCCCATCACTCTATATAAGAAGAGTATCTAAGTTTCAGCAAGGCCCATAAGAAACAATTTTATGATATTCAAACTGCCAAGATGGAGAAATGTGAGGTCGGTGCTGTAATAATCAGCTAGATTGACAACTGGTTGATCACTTTCTAGCTAAAGAGCATTGATTCATCGATCAACCTAAATCAGCGTCAGGTAGGAGCTGCTTTCCTTGGTCTTCTTGTCCTTGTCAGTATTGAAACCAGTGGCTTGGACAGGTCATTGAGGTTATGCTGTGAGTAATATGAAGCTGGGAGGGACAACTGTTACATTGAATGAGAACTCAGGATCCTAAAATATATTGACATGCTAAAGAACTACTGACTCTAAGGTAAAATTTAAAAGAGAAACACTTAACATTCTGCCCTCTAGTCTTCTCAGAATCACTGTATAAGTATGAGAGAAATGAAAAATGACTGAGTTTGGCCCGGCTGGTGTGGCTCATTGGTTGAGCATTGACCTATGAACCAGGTCAGGGTTCGATTCCTGGTCAGGGTACATGCCCAGATTGTGAGATCAATCCCCAGTGTGGGGTGTGCAGAAGGCAGCTGATTAATGATTCTCTCTCATCATTGATGTTTCTAATTCTCTCTCCCTCATTCTTCCTCTCTGAAATCAACAAAAGTATATTAAAAAAAACACATGACTGAGTTCGGAGTAACGCATATGGATTTAGACATATACTTGTCAAAAGGACTTGATGTAAGACAAAGGGGTTATGTAGCTATCAAAAAGTTCCCATCGATATCTTACAAAGAGATAACAGAAATGACCAAGGGAGTTTATTCAGTTTATTTATTGCTGACGTCCAGATTTTCATTGCGTGTTATTGACTAGATGAGCATGTTTCAATTTGTGTGGTTGCTTTAAATACTGTTCAGCCTTCATTTCATTTATTAATATCAGGTGCAGCTAAGCTGCCTGAAGCAAAGAAAGTGCTCATTCCTTCCAGTCCCCCATCTTCAGCTTAATGCATGCCATACTCCCAGTTTACCTTTTCGCCAGTGCGAGTGTTCCCAGTTCTCTGGGCAAGAACCTCGGGCAAGAGGAGTCAGTGGCCGGCGGCTGGTACGCAGTGGCCATGGTCCATGGGGCCGAGGCCATATCTGATGATAATGCATGGTGTGTGCAGAGCTTTCCAAACCTGAAGCAGAGAATCCAAGATGGTCTCTCTCATGAAGGGGAACCTGCAAAAACATCATTTGTCTAGAAGCGGAGGGCGCTCTGGCGCGGGTTCGGGTGGGGAGCGTGCTTTCTCTGTGTGTGTAACCTGTAGAAATAGCCCCGGCCTCTCGGGTGGGCCCAGCCTGCCTGTGGCAACACTGGCTCCACTTGGAATAAAACCCACATGGAGAAACGTACAGAGGAAACTATTCGAGAGGGATCTGGGTGTGTTTCAGACGTTAAGTCTGCAAAGAAAAATCTGTAAACTTTTTTTTTTTTAAAGAAAAACAAGCCCCTGGAAATGAACTTTGAGAGAGATCATTTATGCAGGGAATCTTCCCAGAAGGGAAAAAGAAACAGTTTAAAAGCAATTCAAGTTTTAATAGGGCCCCTTCCCCCCCCATACTAGGAACAAGAAGGAAGACAGCATTGGAAAATGAACGGTTCACTGAGGCTCAAATAGAGGCCGTGGGTGCTGAGCAGAAACCGAAAGACATTGTTCTCATGCTGATAAATGACTCCAGTTTCTCTCTGTGTGTTAATAGCTGCTCTGTGTCTCCAGATCTGAGGAAATGACATTATTAACAACAGTGACCATTGTCCTGTTTACAGTCCTGCTCACAGCTCTCTCTTTTTTCCTTCCACTTTCTCCACTACGTAGACACATCTTCTAAGTGGAGGAGTGGAGAAAGAATAAAACTGAAAAGGCAAAACAGGAGGGTGATCTCCGGGAACATTCCAGAACCTCACTGCCTTTGCTGTTCTCTGCACGCTGGCCACCGCACCCACCGAGAGCAGAGGCCCGGAGGCTGGGCACCAGACTAGACCGTTAGAATCGGCAGGACCGTGGGTGAGTTTCTTGAGTCCTTTGTGGTGATGTGTTCTCAGTTACCAAATGAAGGTCTTCACAGTGATGGCGATGGCAGAGTCAACTGGATTCATAAACTCAGAATTTTCAACCTTATTTTCATTCTCGCCCCTGTGTCTCCCCCAAGGAAATATTTTAGATCTATTTTTTCTAATTGTTCCCCACATGGAAGTTGGAACCCACAGATATAGGAACCGAAAGAGAGTGCAGGCCGTGTTTATATACCTGGTGCTGCTCCTCCCACTTGCCCATCCCCCCAAATCACTCATGTCAGGACTCACTGCAGGTAGGAGAGAAGGCTCTTGAATACTGTTTACCACAAAATGACACACGCCAAGCGGAGCTCTCTGAGTAGAGCCAGTCCCGGGGCCTGGTCGTAGGAGCAAACTAGGGAATCAGGGAGCATGTGGGTCTTCAGTGGACATTAGATGCCTTGCCCCAGGTGCCAATCAAATGGCCTGTGGCCAGAACTGTGCCTGCTGTAGTTGTGGGCCCAGTGGCCCCCTCGGTCCTGCTGGCATGGTGGGCTGTATGGCGCTCTCCTCTCAATCCACCTTTGGGTGTCGAGCAGTCACATCCGGCTGGTGTCCCCTTCTGCCTCAGGATTCCATGTGTGGGAGGCTGAGCTCTCCCTGGGGACAGATCTCCAGGGGGTCATTCTCTCCAGCTCCACTTCCTCTGTGTCCTGGTGTAATCTCCTACTATTCCAAGCAACTGAGTTCCCTGTGGTCCGAAGCCCAAGCCTCCAGGATTAGAACAGTGTTGATGACATGAATGCCAAAACCCTGTGCTGGGAACCACACACGCCAGCACATCTGTTTGGACAGAAGGACAGAAATAACCAATTATCCTGACATGTGCCACAACATTTTAAAAGTAAAAGTGGCCAATCAACTTGGGTAAAACCAGTTGAAGAGGTGTGTGTGTGTGTGTGTGTGTGTGTGTGTAAAGTCATAAATTCAAAATACACTCACCCTTATCCAAGGCTGTGCTGACATCATTGCCTCTTGGAACATCTGGGAGACCCCACATCAGTCACCTAGGGGAGGGTCTTGTTGAAAGGCAATTTCCTGGGCTCCCCCTCTGTACTGCACCAGAATCTCTGAAGTGGGACCCAGAAATCTGAAGTTTAATGAACACCCTGAGGAAGTCCTTCTGCAGACAGAAGTTTAGAACCATTGGCTCTAAATGCTCAAATAGTTTGGTCAATTCAGTGACAGCATCTAATCAGACTACTGACATGTCACAGAGAGAGAACGGTACCTTTGCTTATTCTATAAATACTTCAGAACGACACATATCCTTGTGCACCTTTTGCGAGTTTGCAGAGCGTTTTGTACCCTTATGTACTTCAAGTGTCAGAGGCAGATGAGAAACCAAATAGTCGAGCTAGTGACAGCTGTTTTCATCTCCAAGGAAGCAGTCCCCTCCACAGGAGCAGTCCTCCCAGGTGTCAACACCCTCCATAGTTCAGGGTCACCAAGAAAGATATGACTCACCTAGGCACTGGGGGCCAGCACTTTCCTCCCAGAGAAGTGACAGAGCAAGATTAGTCTCCGGGTGGCCCGAGTCTTGTCCTGCAGCCGACACAGCCCTGTGAGATTCCAGCCTCTAAGAAGATATAACTAACAACTCACCTTCACGGAAAACAGCAGGGCTCACAGTGATGGGTCGAACACAGCCTGACATACCTTCCGAATGCATCACAAACGATTGCCGTGTTCGCAAGGAGCTCAGTGTGGGGAGAGGGGGGCTAAGGTCCCAACCGGCTGTGAAGCCAGCTTGGCTGAGCAACCATGTGAAGTTTAGGACAAGGAGCAGAAACTGATACGGCTACTCAAGTGAAAGGGGAAGTTTATTACCAACATGTACACAAGCAGTGTGAGGCTGCCCACAGGGCGGACCACGAGGGCGCTGTTATCAGTGGGAGCATTCCTTGTCCCTACCTGCTGCTGTGGGAAGTGGGCTTCTTGCGATGTCCTGAGAGAAAGAATTTCCTGAGACTTGCATGGGAGAATGAGGGGTTGTGGAAAGCTTTATTTCTGTGGAATCAACCCCTTGAGTTTCCAAGGCCCCATTTCTCTTCCTGCTGCCAAGGAGAAAGACCCATTTTGCTTTTAGTAAAGCTAGGATTAACGCTGCTGTTCCATGTGTACATAGTCCAGTCAGTATCAGGCTGGCTCAGCTTGTGTTCGCAGCTGCAGCCTATTGCCACATTGCTGTGGAGGGAACACGGTGAGAGCAAGGAGGCAGGAGGGAAACGGGGACAAAAGAAAAGGGGCAAGAATTCCTTTGTCTCAGGATTTAACCTTTCAGGATTTTGCATGTTTGCAGTGGCCACACCCCCCATGGCCAATGATCTCTGTTCCAGGTTAGGCCGACAGACACCTTCCCTACGCCACCTGACTTTACTGCACATGCATCCATCCCACCCTTGTCCAGTCCCTTCCCGCCTGTGATCTGCAGAGACTTTCCCTGGGGAGTGCAAAGTTGCATCTACCTGGTGAAGCTGCCTAGATGGTCATGTTCCTAAAGTCTGGCCTCCCTTTGCTTTCTTCCTATTATTAATAAGTAGCTAATTACAACAGTTTCACTTACAGCACCTGCAAAGAATTTTTAATGATCTGATAGGTGATGCTTAAAGAGTAAAGTAGGTAGCAGGTGCAAACCACACCTGTGCAGGACTTGTTACGTATAGTTGAGCAGGATTTTTACTTTTAGTGACTTTTGTAGGGGTAGGGAATGTTCAACCTTCTCTGGTTTGTTTGAGGCCTCTCGGGGTGTTAATGTGGCCCAGATTCTGGGATGCCCTGTGGGATCCAGGCTGGCACTGCAACTGGGCCCGGCTGGCACTGACACAGAGGCCTCTGAGGAGGGCGCTTCTGCCTCAGGTGTGGAGTCTGCACAGCTGTCCCGGTAGCTGGTGACCTGGCTGCTCCAGGCAGGTCATCCTGTTCACACAGCACGGCTCTGCGCGTGGCCCTCCCTCTCACACACACTCTCAGTCTTTGTTCTATATATGTCCCTGCTGGGCCGGGCCCCACTGGTTCACTGAAGCCCAGACAGGTACGGCGGGCTGTGCAGTCCTGTCTGGAGTGGGAAAGGCAACACGGCTGAGAAGGGTACAGATTCAGGAGTGGGACTAATGGTTTCCCATGCTGTGTCCACCACACCCTGATGACGTATTAGCCACATTTTATATTTTTAAATATATTTTTATTAATTTTAGAGAAGAGAGAAGGAGAGATAGAAACAACAGTGATGAGAAAGAATCATTGGCCGGCTGCTTCCTGCACACCCCACACTGGGAATCAAGCCTACAACCCAGGCTTGTGCCCTGACCGGGAATCGAATTGTGACCTCCTAGTTCATAAGTCGATGCTCAACCACTGAGCCATGCTGGCTGGGCATATTAGCCATGTTTAAAAACCCTGCTGCCTCAGTTTCTTCATCTGCCAGATGGGGCAAAGAATAGCACCTACCTCATAGGGTTTCTGTGAGGAATGAGGAGCCCCTGAACACTGTGCCTGGGCCCAGGAAGTGCTCAAGAAGTGTCAGCCAGAATTGTTATGAAAACTCTTAGGAGACCCTGTCACCATCTGGATCAAGGAGGGAGGCAGTTCCAGGAAAAAGGGTGTTAATGGCTTAGGCGCTGGGCAGCTGGCCAAGGACAGCAACTACAAAGGCCCAAGGACTGGGCAGCTTTGCGAAGCATATGGGGACGTGGCGCTCCCACGAGTGGTCTGCAAGCCGTGGTCAAGAAGAAAGGAAGCGGACGGTGCAGGATGTTACTGAGAAAGACGTGTAGATGGAGAGATCGCCTCCCACCCACAAGGCAGCTGTGCTGTCCAGAGAACAGGCGTGATAGGAAGGTCATGAGAAGTTACTGTCATCCTGGCTGCCGGTCCCTGGAAGATAAGACTGTGTGTGAAGGGGTGATCATGTGGGAAATGACTCAGGAAACATTTACATCAAAAACGAACTTGAGTCCAGAGAGTTGTCATCTTCTGCTTGTCTGTTTTTGAGAACGTGACTCATGAGCGAGAGGCAACCCTGGCGGCCGACAGCTGTGTCACTGCGACCCTGGTGCAGACCCCTTCCTTGGCCAGAATGTTCAAAGCTTGCTGACGCCTGAAGAGAGAGAGCTTCCCTGTCTCCCACGTGGAGTAAGTCCAGGCTGCTGGGCTTGGCTTGGCAATGAGAGCAGAGAGGAAATGCAGGAAATGCGCAGGCTTATTCTAAGCACTTTAAGTGCATTATCTTATTGATGTTTAAATCCACTGAGAGATAAGGAAAGTAAACTCAGAGAGGTAGATTGTTTGCCAATGTCACACAGCAAATGGGAAGAGGGTGCGGCTGGCAGAGGATGCCAATGCCTTGTCCTGACTTCTTGGCCGACTTTTGGGTGGGTGCTGGGTGCGCCCCAAGAATGCTGACTTTTCCACCTCCTGCCGGAGTCTGCCTGCTTTTATGCCTGGGAGCCTCTCTCCAGTCCCCAGGAGCCTGCTCAGCCCACATGAGGGGCATGTCAGCCAGATGGGGACAGTTGGTCGAGGACCCACCACCTGGGGATGCCACCAGGCTGGATTACATGCTCAGGTGGGACCACAGGGGTTAATCACCCCACTTATAGAGTCCAATGACAGGTTCTTCAACACAAATACCAGCCAGGTCTGTCTCTGGGCTCAGGCTCAAGATGAGGCCACTGTGTTTGCTGGAATTCACAGCCCCAAAGGCCACAGAGGGGCTATGGCAGGACTGCCTCCGAGTTGCCCACAGTGACACCTGCTCATGGACACATGCCCTGAATGACCTTTCTCCCCCCTCAGTTGTGCTCTCGGGGATCCCCTCTGCAATAAGCCAACCCCCCAAGATAAGCAAGTGCCTCCTCTGAGAAGGCTTCCCTGGCAGTAGAGGTTAACTGTGCGTTCCAGCCCGGCAGGGCCACGTGCCAGGTGACGGTCGAACACTGTCTAGATGTTGCTGGGAAGGTGTTTCTTAGATATGATGAATATTTTACAAGCAGCAAACACCTGCTCTTCACCCACAACTTCTTAAAGAAATAGCCTTTCATTCTGATAAAGGATTGTGAGACTATGTTCCTACTGGATGTGTCTTATAGCACATAGCATGCTTTCTTCCTTTTAAAAAAAAATTTTTTTTAAATTGATTTCAGAGAGGAAGGGAGAGGGATAGAGAGGTAGAAACATCAATGATGAGAGAGAATCATTGATTGGCTGCCTCCCGCACACTCCCTACTAGGGATTGAGCCTGCAACCCAGCATGTGCCCTTAGCCGGAATTGAACCTGGGACCCTTCAGTCTGCAGATGCTCTATCCACTGAGCCAAACTGGCTAGGGCAGCACGCTTTCTTTACATTGTCCTTTCATAAACAGATCTCAGAGTTTTTGACACAGCAGCTTTCTTTTGACAGATGGACAACTATGTTGTATTTGTGCCAAAACACTGCAAACCGATTCATGGTTAATTCCTGGCCCACCTTGCCATCTTTGGAAACTTACCTCTCTTCTCCAAAGATGTTAATAATAGCCGTTCTTGAATATTTACTACATGCCGGCCCTAGTTTAGGTACCAGACATGAAAGCTAATTTACATGCTGCAAATCTGTTGTTTTCAGACTGGGCAACTGAGGCAGGTGAATAGCTTTTGTGGAGCTGCCTCGCTGGAGCCTGCCCTCCTGCCCTGCTGCCCTCGATCCCTTCTTGCCTAAATGCCACGGATTGAAAATTCCTAGCGCCAGCTACTGGTTCTCCCTCCCAAATTCCCGACTTGTATCTCCGACGGCTCTGGGGTGCCTCTACCTGCGTGTCCAAAGGTGTCTCCAAAGCGGCCTCTCCCAGCCTGAGGGCCCCATCTCTCCTCCACTCCTGCTGCTCTGCAGGGAGTGCTTTCTCTGCCAACTGGGATGCTCAGGCCAGAAACCAGGGCACCACCTCGGCCTCCTCCCCCACCGCCTCTCACATGCAAACCATTCATCCTCGGCTTGTCCTTCCTCCTGCCTATCCCTAGAAGGCCTACTCCAGGCCCCCACCTCCACATCTCCATTCTCCACAGTGTGCCAGGACCATTTTTACAGCACACAAATAGACCATCTGTATTTGTTATCTATTGATGTGCAAGAAGTTACCTCCAAAATAGAGCCTCAGAAAACAACCAGCATCCATGACCTCACAGCTTTTGAGGGTCAGGAATCTGGGGCAGTTGCTGGGTGGTTCCGGGTCAGGCCTGTCTTGGGCTGCCACCATCTCAGGACTTGCTCAAGGGAAGGTCGGCTCCCAGCTCACTCACGTGGCTGTGGGCTGAGGACATTGGTCCCTTGCCAGGTGGGGTTCTCCATAGCATGCCAGCTGACTTCTCCCAATACCACGATGAAAGACAGTCTTTTTACGACCTAATCTCAGAAATGACATCCTATCACTTCTGCTGTGCTCTGTTCATCAGGAGTAACTCACTAAACCCAGCCACACTCAGATGGAGGGGTCACCCAGGGTGTAAATATCATGGGAAGTGAGGGTCACTGGGGCCATCTCAGAGCCTGCCTAGTACATCGCATGTTTGCTCAAAACACTTCAGTGAGCACACGTTGATGTACGACATAGTCCAATGTGGGTTACAGGCCCTGAGAAGGGAACACTGTTCCAGCCCCACATGTCACCGCCTTTCCACACGCACCCTGCCCTTCCCGGGGGTGCACCGGCCACGCCACGCACCAAGCTGTGTACAGGGATGCTGCCATGGCCTCGGCGCCGTGCAGCCATCCAAAGCGTTAGCCAAGCAAAAGCCTCTTTCCCCTCCTTTGGTTCAGTGGCCATTTATATGATTGTTTTAACTTTGCTTAATGATTGCAACTGTCTTCCCTTACAAAGTTTAAATGTAATGAATTTTAACATCCTAAGAAATGTATGGAATTCCATATGTAACAACCTTTACACAAAGCTTGCTAAAGAGCCACATTTAGAGAAAATGTCTGTGTTGTTCATTGCAGCATTATTTACAATAGCCGAGCTATGGAGGCACCCCACATGCCCATCAACAAACAAGTGGATAAAAAAAAGCTGTGGTATAAAAACACATATACAATGGAATATTACTCAGCCATAAAAAATGAAATCATACCGTTTGCAACAGCATGGGCGGACCTGAGGGCCTTATTCAAAGTGAAATAAGCCAGTCAGAATAAAGACCGGCACCATAGGATTTCACTTATATGTGGAATATGAACAAACACAAGAGAAAAAGACAC